ATATATTGATAAACCAACAGCTAAAAGGTCTAGTCTTTTTCTCAAGATGCAGAAACAGGTAACAATGTTGGAGCGGAAAAACACAATAACACAAAATTCAGTAGTATAAACAGAAACCCTCGAAAAGCCCTAGAAAACTCAATCGAATTCAGAACAGAAACGCTAAAATCTAACCTCAAAGATACAAACTTGGAGATGTGAACAGAAATACCTAACGACTGGTAATGTTTGGAAACTCTGAAGCACAATTTGAGATGTGGTGTGAATCTCTGAGCTTGATTTTGCAGAAATTTAAGAGAATCAATGTCTCTTGACCAAAGATAAATTGGCTGATTGTTTTGTATTTTCTGACGGAGAAGAAAGAGGGCCGCGTGGAGTTCACGAGGAATAAAAATTGCTTCTTTCCCTAAATTAAGTGTTTTTATTAACTCCTTCTTTATAACTTATTTATGAATTTTACCCATTTAAAGCCTTACAATGACCCAAAATGTTAAAATTTGAAAAGGAAGATCTTCAAAACCAAAATTGACAGTTGTTGTTAGACATAAATACATTGGAAAAAGTGGCTTTGCAAAGTATATATCAAATGTTATGAACACATAAGTTTATGTATAGAATACACACAACACATGGATAGAAAAACAATGTCATTAGTAATGTTACATGTCATTACAAATTATCAATGTACATATACTAGTTAGGAATACTATCTTATGTATGTGGTTGTTACTTGTATTGATCTAATTTCCTGTAATTTAGGAGATAAGAGTATGTGAATTCACTTATAAAAAAGTATAAGGCACAAGAGAGATTCATAAGAAATAAGAGGGTGAGAAAGAAAAATAATAAAAAGAAGACTAGGGCGAGGGAGAGAATTCAAGGAAGAGAAAACGCAGAGCTCTCTCTTTCAAAGTTGAAATGTTTGAAGGCGTCTCCGGCTACACAGCAATGGCGTCTGTATCAGACTCAGAAGTAGAAAAGGAATCCATACACCATAAAGCACTAGCGGAATCGAGTTTCAATTGCGGTGATTTGATGTCGGCGTTAACTCACGCGCAGAAAGCGCTCAGCTTGTCTCCGAACGCGGAAGGTTTATCCGCCATGGTCACCGCTTTCGAGATTATCAGCTCCGCCGCAACAGTCGCTGGAGGTTTGCCGGAATGGTACAAGGTTCTAAAGGTAGAGCCTTTTTCTCATATCAATACCATTAAACAACAGTATAGGAAGCTAGCTTTGGTGTTGCATCCTGATAAGAATCCATACGTGGGATGCGAGGAGGGATTCAAGCTTTTGAATGAGGCTTTTAGGGTTTTCTCTGATAAGGTTAGGAGGACTGACTATGATATGAAGTTGAGGATTAGGATTCAGGGAGAAATGGTAAGTGGTGGTTGTGGTGATGATGAAACGTCAACGTTTTCGACGGTTTGCTCGGGTTGTAGGTCGGTGCATAAGTTTGTTAGGAAGAATTTAGGACAAAATTTGATGTGCTCTAGTTGCAAGAAGAGTTTTGAGGCTAAGGAAGTTGAGAAGGAAGAAGAGGGTAGAGATGGAAGTGCAAATGGAGCTTGTACTTCCAAGATCATAACATATAGTAGGAGGAAGAGGCCTCTTGGTAGTGATGGTGAAAGTCTGAGAAGAGAAGTTGAGACAGGGGAGATGAGTGAGGAAGGAGCAGAAGCTGTCAATGTATCTGAGATGTTGGATGAAGAAGATGAAGGGATGATGACTTTGGCAGAAATGCAATCGGTGATAAAGAGAAACAAATCGAAGGTGAAGCCGAAGATCACTGAGAAAGATAGCATTGGAGAAGAAAACTTGGGAAGGGAAACGCAGAAGAGATCTTCAGCTGATGTCTCTATGAGTGAAACGTTAAGGGAGATGAGTACTAACAAGGTGAATAATAAACGAGAAGCTTTAAAGAATAGTAAGAATATAAAGAAGAAGAAGATGACGAACCACAAGAATTTAACTGAGATTGTGGATTTAGAATACGTGCCACGGGTTGATAGGAAGAGGGATCGAGGTAAGTTGAGCCAAGAAATCTATATGGAAGACGAGGATTTTGAACTGTATGATTTTGATAAGGACAGGATGCCGAGGAGCTTCAAGAAAGGGCAGATTTGGGTGATATATGATGGTGGTGATGACAAAATGCCTCGGAGTTACTGTTTGGTTAATGATGTAGTCTCTTTGAACCCTTTTAAGGTATGGATCAGCTGGTTGGATTTTGAGAACGAGAAACTAATCTCTTGGATGAAGATTAGTTCTTCTCATATGCCTTGTGGTAGGTTCCGGGTTGCAGAGAAAGCTTTGATCGAGCAAGTGAAACCATTCTCTCACCTTGTCAACTGCGAAAGGGCTGCACGAGAAGTATACCAAATATATCCCAGGAAAGGCTCGGTTTGGGCAGTCTACTCAGATACAAATTCAGGTCTTCAGAGAAGAAAGACCAGACGCTATGAGATTGTCGTGTGCTTGACGATGTATACTGATGCATATGGCTTGAGTGTAGCATATTTGGAGAAGGTAAACGATTGTAGCAACTTGTTCAAGAGACGGAATTACGGGTATAATGCAGTCAGGTGGGTCGAGAAAGACGATGTTGCAGCCTTGCTCTCTCATCAGATTCCGGCCAAGAAGCTGCCTGAAGATGAATCTGGAGCTGATCTGAAAGAGTCTTGGGTGCTTGATCTTGCTTCTGTTCCTCCTGACTTGGTTTCTGCCACTTAGTTAGCATAGAAAATTCATGCTTTCGTTTATGTTTTTGTTTGTCATCATCATGACAAAGAGAAACAAACACTTCATGTCACTATTTGTCTAATTTAATCATTTTAGTTTAGATCAACCAAGTTATTTAGTTGTAAAAATTCATTCATATGCCAAATTTTACTATCTAAAGTCTAAACCAAATGTTGATACTTATACACCAAATGTTGATACTTATACACCAAATGTCACATGAGCCCAAAGGCTTTCCCACAAGTTTTTAAGATAAGTTCAAATCGTGTTATATTACCAAATCTTAATGGCAAAAAAACAAAATTTCAAAATTTGATTACAGAATTTTATATTGTTAGTTGATAAAATCAAATGTCTAGTTTTTAGATATCAATATTTTTAGATTTTTTAGATATCAAATATGCATAAATTTCGCGTGGGGCAAAAAGAAACAGATTATAAAAATCAGTGAGCCCTAGAAATTCTCATGGCCTAAAAGAGAGAATTAATTAATTCGTCCACCAAAACAAAAAGGTCACACGCTTGAGAGAGAAAGAGTGCGCAGAGTGAGCGAGCATAGCGGTGGAGTGTTGTCACTGCTAACTCTTGACGATTTCTCTTGTTTACGTAGCCGAAAAGATCACTCTCTTTTGGTGTCGACTCTGTTTCTGGGTATGATTCTTTTGGAGCCCTAATAGTAGTCAGAGGTTTTGATTTTGCATGGTTTATGGTTGCGAGTTAAGGTTTTCCGGTTATGGGTCTTGATTTTCTTTCTTAAAGTCTTCTGGGTTTGCCAATTATCACTCAAACAATCTTGAAAGATCAAATCTTTTCCTACGTATGTAGTCTTTAAGCTTTAGATTGTGTAATGTGTTCTGATTATCTGGGTTTCAATGATATAGGTTGTGTGCATAGCAGATTCTGTCTTGTAAAACGTTTGTCTTTTGATTGAAAACTGTTACTGGAAAAAAAAAACTGTAGATTATGTTCTCTGTAATATCCCAATTAAGGCATTGTATAGACTATATACTATAGAGCTAGTAGAGTGTTTTTTTTTTTTATAGTTCTCTTGCTTCTGGATCTGTGTGTTTCTTTATAATGTTAGTTTCAGTTGTTGATTCGAAATGTTGGCTTATCTGATCTGCTTTTGAAATGATGCAGGAGCCGTGACGTGAAGGTGTGATCTTTCCACTGAAACTAGCTATCAAGATGAATTCATTTCCTTCACAAAACTTGATGCTATCTGCTACAAATGCAAACAAGGGTGCAGGCTTGCGTACGTCTAATGCTCATTGGTTACATTCCTGTATCGCCGTTCCAAAGACCACAGGCATTGATCTTTCTCAAGCAAATCCTGCTGAAGGTGTGATGGTGCCTCAATCTCATTTGTTTCCTCCTCCTACTAGAGATTCCAGAAATGATATGGAAACTGTGAAACAGAAGTCTGTAAATCAGTCTCCTTTGAAATCTTTGAAGCCAAACCCGCCAAGGAAGAAACGCTCTGCATCCAACAAGTCAAAGAAAACACTGAGCATACCAGAAACAAAACGCGAGAAAAAGAATCTGGACATCAACATTGACATCTCAAGCTTTGATACTTCTGGGGTTCCTCCTCCTGTTTGTTCATGTACAGGCGTTTCAAGGGTTTGCTACAAGTGGGGCATGGGCGGTTGGCAATCCTCGTGCTGTACCATCAGCATATCGACATACCCACTACCCATGAGCACCACAAGACCCAGGGTTCGTCTTGCTGGAAGAAAAATGAGCAATGGTGCTTATGTCAAGCTCCTTGCTAGGCTTGCTGGCGAAGGTTATAACCTCTCTCACCCTGTTGATCTCAAGAACCATTGGGCCAGACACGGTACTAACAAGTTTGTGACTATCAAGTAGTCTTTCATTAGTTGGGTTTGGTTTTAGATTTTAGCTTTTGTGGTTTCCATGCAAGTCATATTAACACTTTTGGCATCTTTGTATATATGTTTCGTAGTTGCTTTAACATCATATAGGACGACACTTATTTTCCTTTAGGAGGAATGTTTGGTACTGCAACAATGTTTGGTTGAATCCGATCATGAATTTCTTTAGGGTGCCTTAAAGTAGGAGACATTATGGATCAATTAAGCTTCTTTCGACTCTGCGAATTGTTATATCTCTGCTCGTTCCGGCTCTTTTTGCCATGGGAAAGAATAGCAAAGATGTTTTATCAATGCATTTGGCCATCGGTCAACATCATCACACGTCAACACAGATTTGGCTTTGGAAACATAATCTCTACTCTTTTACCCCCAAAATGTTGAATCATAAACGTAATAGAACACATTATCTCTTTTGCCACTACGACTACTTACACACAACACTACACAACAGAGTTTAATCGCAGACAATGACACAATGGTAATTACATTAGTTGTAAGGTGGTATAATCAAACCTTCTAAAAGGGTGGTATTTTGAGAGTACTGTATTGCTCTAGTATTTGCATTGTTGTATCCTTGTTTCCTCTGAAGAAGAGGTATGTTTTCTGCAAAAATCCCAATTAACAGTGGTGGAAGCACATTAAGGCATAAACTTGGGTAATATATTGGTTAGGTATCGGTTAGCATATAGAAGGTAGACTAGTATCATTTTACCTGGAGAACCCACAGACTCAGAAGTGACTCCATGCAGAAGAAACCAAAGCCGGCAAAGTAGAAGATCTGCAGTAAGAAACTAAGTTAGCTATGTGTTATGGTTAATAGGAACTAAATTGGTAACAACTGATCAGTAGTGAATATAGAAAAGAGGTCATGGTTCGTACTCCGGCTAATAAACTGGCAGAGATTACATCTATTGCTGCTAGTACACCCCTGTAGATGAGAAGACATTGAGGATTACTTGTTGCAACACACGCAGATAAGTATATACAGAGACACATAATCTTGGACGAGGCTTCATGACACAAAGAGTTTAGTTTGACGGTTGATGAAGTTTTCTATGTCGTAAATGAAATGATGTTTCCAAATGATGGCTAGTTGAAACACAGAGTTAAGATTCTTAGCTTTCTAGTTCTCATTCTACTCATAATTTGTTATTTCTAGCAGAACAACTTACAACTTGCCAAGTGATCATCTTAAAACAAAACATACATGATGCATTGCAAAGCCTAAGAACGAGATTAATTAATTAAAACAGCAATGATTGGACTACTTACGTTAATGATTGTCCATCGAAAATGATAGGAGGAGCAATGGCAGCAAATATGCAGAAGCCAATGTGAATCTATCAAGAACCACGTTCAGTAATACAGGAAATAGAAAGTATACATGCGTAGAATGAAGATAAACTGTGAATCTAAAGATGACAGGTTTTTTTAACAACTCACCAGGTAGAAGAAAAAGAACCAACCGAACTTCAAAGCACTGTCAGTCCTGCAAGGTGATAAGACAGTTATAGGCACAGTACCAATATGACCTAGTCTATGGATAGTCAGATAATCGGAGCATTACCTCATTGCTAGGTAGAGAGGCTTGTACCATAAGACATATGAAACTGGACATCCAAGAAACGCATAGATTGTGGCAAGAAAAAAGATATAACCACCTATCATTCATATATAAACTAGCATTAGCTCAACCAAATCCACTCAAAACTTCATAATATAGTTTTCTTCAAATGGTGAATTTGTTATAATATAAAAGCTCACCTGCGCCTTCAATCCAGCAGACTATTACTGCGATGACATTGAATATGAGACAGAAAACTAGACCTGAAAATTCAAATTCAAACAGTAACAAGTTCATCAGTTCACTGCAGATGACTTTATAGTTTATACAGTTTATAAATAGAATGGCAGATGAAATCAATAAAACCTACCTAACCAACTAGCAAAAGCCAGGTACTGCAGTTTTTGTGCATGAAGTGGTATCTCGTTGTGGTGTATAATTGGGAAAAAGGACGGCCAATTTTTATCGTTTATCTGCACACCAGCTGTGACACAATTTGATGTGTTTCGTTAGTAACAAACCAACCAGCACAAGATTCAAACAATGTTTTTTTGCAAAAATAATGTGTCATGAGGTCCTGTTGGCTTACACTTAGAAATAGCATTTTCTCTTCGTTTAACATCCTGGGTGAATCAGAGATAAAGAGTTACATGAAATAATCCAACCAGCAACAAGCCAAGAAACTGAGTGAAAAGGTAGAGAAGACAATAACCATTTCTCTGTTCCTAAGTTGTGCTTCCCAATCAGAAAGCTCTATCTGTTTAGAGTCCTGCACCAATCACACACAAAATCTCAGAGAAATTCAAGTGAGAGATTGCATGAGTGTTACAATAATAATGTTCTTACATTCACCCTATCCAATGGTATATGGACGGTAGAATAAAGGTTACTGCCAAATCCAAGTGGCCTAGATGACGCAGGAACCCTTCCAACGCCACCAGCTCCTTTCTGCAATAAAAAATATATTAAGACCACATACACTTAGCCTGCAATAAATTTCAATGAATCTGAAAGGAAAGTGAGCCACAAATAGAAAGCCGCATGTTAAAAGCATTTACCAAGAAGGGATTGACAATTTCTTCTTCTTCTTCTTCCTCGTTGAAGGGATTGGGATCGTGGTGGCGACTCATTGTTCACTTTTCAGATCTTAATAGTTTTTCACAATATCGGCCGAGAGATCCGGGGAGAGTTAAGAAACAAAAAGAGACAGAGAAATGAAACAAACGACGACGACTTCTTTACTCTCTTATTTGGTTCATGTATATGAAGATATTACATATATAAGGAACTACGTTGACCAAATCAACATATTATATATATGAAGTCAAATTCAACAAATCCATACCTCGAGGTTAACGACTATATAATAAAGGGTTTAAGAAGATAGATATGAAGGAAAAATTAAAAAAAAAAAGCTCGAGGACTAAGTCAAGTTATTTATTATAAGACTTTGGCCATAAAAAATTAATGCTTAGAAGGATCCATGACTTGACCAAGGAACAAAACCAGTCCACTTGTATTCTTTGACGATGAAGAGAAAAGGATGATCAGCCACGAAGTCATACTTCTCTGGCGGAGGACGAGCACAGCCAACACCAATTACAGCAGCTGCAGCTGCAGCTTTCGATCCCACTTCATCGACCTCGATGCAAGACTTGTGGATGATCGTGGACAATGGCACCTCCAAACCAAAACCCTTGAGAGCTTCCGAGGCTTCGAAATGAAAATCAAATTTAAACCTTGGAATCATGAGTTCTCCTATGACCGCCCGGTGGCTAGGAATGTCCTCTTCGTCATTCAAGATTCCACGAGTGGTAGCTAGTCTCTCCAGCATTGCAGGCAACCCATCTTTTTCATCAGGGAGATAGATTTGCATTGCGAAACTACGGCCGTCTTCTTCGTAATCCCGCCCTTCTCTGTACGGAAGATCGAGTACTTTGAAACCTTCGTAAGCATAAAGTCTGTATTTGTAGGAGGCACCGGTCATGAAGGGCACACATACTTTGGTTCCATCAAGAAGGTGAAAGTCGGAGTCTTCTGTTAGGGATGGATCGAATTCCGCATCCCATCTTCCGTTGAAGAACAAAGCATTAGCAAATATGAGATCAGTCAAAGCAGATACAGAGTTTGGTGAAAGAAGATTAGTGATGAGTCCATTTGTCTGCTCTTCAACCCATGAATTCACCTCTTCAGTCACTTCATCAGCCTTTCAAAAACCAACAAAAACAAAAATCAGGAAAGTTATCAACATCTAGGGTATACTTACTTAAGCACACATCTAAGCATGTCAATGTTAGTATAATGCCTAGTAAATTTATATAGAAGTTAGGTTTATTTGGATCAGAGAGAGTACCTTGGTGCGGAAGTCAACTTGGTTGAAAGCAGCTTTATACGAATTCAGCAAGAGATCCTTGAAAGAAGGTTCCACAGAGAGAGACTTTTCGATCCAGATTCGCTGCAGATATCGTCGGACCGCCACTCGTGGTGCTGTCGGCGAGGACGGTGGTGACTATCTTGGAGGAGACGGCGTTTAGCTCATCGGTCGAAGAAGCCTGAAGTAAAGAGACAATCTGGTCTGCGGTGGCTCCGGGAGATCTTGCGGCGATGAAATTGAGGATGACGTTGATTAACGCCGGCGAGAAGACGAGGTTGGAGGTTTTCCCGGCGCTGCTGGCGATCACGTGCTGAGTGAACCTTAGGACGATGTCGTTTTGGTTCCCTATTGGTTCTCGTAGGCTGCGTAGTAGGTCCATCTTTTTTACGGCGAGTTAAGTTGAATCTTTTGGGATTCTTATTTTACTTCTTCTCTTTACTTTCTTTATCTATATATACATTTTTGGATCACAATTAGCAAATAAATCCTGAAGTTGAGAAGTATTTACAATGATATGCCATTAGTATTAATTATTTAGATTTGTTTTATTTAAGTAAAGATTTTTAATTGAAATTCATTTCTCATATATTTAGAAAAAGTCTCTACAAAATCTTTTCTTATCTATTTAAGTAAAGATTTTGAAATCAAATATGTTCTCAACAATTTACCAAAAATCTCTACACAAAAATCTCGACTTAGTTAACTTCTGATTTTTATCTGCAAAAAAAAAAATTAATTGTAACGAGTGATGTAAAAATCGAGAATGTTGATACTACAATTTCTTCTACTTCTTTTTTTTCATATAATGAAAATTATTTTTTAGGGATATTTTCTTAAACCTCTAAACAAAACAAAGGGTTTCAAAAGATAGCTTCTCTTTTGGCGGGTCGACCCGCAAACCCGCAATTCTCTACGGGCTTATCCGCATGAACCTGCGACCCGTAGTGGATAAAAATATTATTCAAAATAAATAACAAATGATGTTTAATTTTATGGGACGGGGTTATATGGTGCAACGGGTTTAGATCAATATTAATATTAAACAATATACTATGGATGAAATCCTAGAATTAAAAATCAAAATTTAATTATAAAATCAGAAACACTAAACAAAATAAACAATATTAACAAAACAAATACAACTTAAAATTTTGCAAAATTATATTTTAGTTATAAAAATATCGACCCACGGTGTACCGCGGGGTAAAATCTAGATTTGGAAGTTTAAGGAAGAAAAATCTATTTAAAAAAATAATAGCTCCGCGGTGTACCGCAAGAAAAATCTTTCTCCTAAACTGAGACAAGAAGAAGAAGAAAGCCAAATGTCGTTTAAATGTATATATAGATATACCATTTAAACCTAAAACACAATTAATATACTCAAAACTATTAATATAGATATATGGATGGTACATTTATAAAATAGGTCAAAATATTATATTATACTCTCTATTAATAAACAAAACTAATTATATTTAGATTTTTTTAAAAAAAATTATAGCCCCGCGGTGTACCGCGGGTTCAAATCTAGTAATGTTTTAATTTTTAAACAAAAGTCTCAACACAATAACCCTATTTATAGAGAGAGACAAGAGAGTTATTATAGTTCTAAACAAAATTAACAAATATTTTTTTCCAAATTCACTTTTATTTTCTTTATTTCCTTTTCTTCTTGTGTTTCTTTTTATCTAATTTCATCTTCTTTTTGATTTTCTTTTCCTAATTTCCTTTTATCTAATCTACTATTGATGGATTTTATATTATTTTTTTATAATTGTTTTGTTGTTTGATTTCTTTCTTATTTATTTTTTCCTTCTTAACATAAAAACAAATCTCTATTCCAATACTTCATTTAGATTTGTTTGCCAATAAACTGTTTGAGATTACAAAGCACTAATTTCACATTCAAATGACACATGTAGATGGAAATGAGATTATATTCAACTCTCTGAATTTCCAGCCAGTAAACTCTATGGCTTAGTTATTTCCTAAACTAAGATATTGACAAATACATCATATTTCTGTTATCCAAATTGGATCTCATTTCATACTCTTTCTTATGTAGTCTTGAGCTTTCAACAACATGAAACTAGTAAATTGTACAATGGTGAGCGACATGGCCATATCTAGGCATGTGCGTGAAGTAAGTTTGCACCGGAACCTTGTTAAATTGACATACAAATTGGTGTATTTTAACTTTTAAGGGTCCAAAACCAAAATTAAAACTTTAACAAGGTTTTAAACAGAACCATAGTTTTTTTTGCAAATTTTGAGCTGAGCGATGACTTGATTGCTTTTTTTTTTTTTTTGCCATACCGATGACTTGATTGTTTGAGGTGTGTATTGTATAAGGACATGGCACATTTGTCACTGGTGGCTCTGATGGTGTTTTCAATTCCTAGGACAAGGATAGTAAACATAGACTCAAGATATTTTCATTTGTAAAGTCATCTGGATAGAGATTCTCAACAAATCAAAAATTTCACAATTAAGTACGAAAGCCAAAAGATTAGGCGAGATTAGGTAAGGTATAGTGTAACGTAGTACGTAGCATTAGCTGATTAGATATTTTTTTATACTTTTTTCCCTTGAAAAAGAAAAACGACAAATTAGTTAGTACCTAGCCTGTCCTGAAAAAGAATACAACATACTTTAGTAACACTTGAGTTCTTGAGTTGGTTCAAATAGCTTAATTACTGTAGTCAAATTAAATAATCCGTCTAGTTGATTTGTAGCTTTCTCGATGTGAATTGAATGAATACTTTATTCTCTTAGGAACAATATAGCTGAACCAGAAAAAAATGTCATTTTCCAATAAGGGAATTATTTCATTTTATAATGCGATGAATCATCAATTAATACTAATTTTCAAAGCCAAGAAAAGTTGTTGAAGGAAAATATTAGAGGAGGCCAAAAGAAAGAAGCCTTAACAGAGAATCTGTTCAAGCCAAGCAAAGCTTAAAGCTTAAAGCTGAGAAAGCGTTTATTATCTATCAGTCCACTGCAATATTCTGAAGATTTCTTTGTGGCTCTGCTTTTGTTCTTCTGCTTTGGTGCTTTTGAGAGAATCTATACTCTTCGTGACAAGTTTCTTTTCTTCTACTGTTTCTTTTGTGTTTTAGCTTGAGATATTTCGAAGTCAAGATCAAGAAATTCGTCTTTTCCAAGAAAATTGTGTAATTGAATTCTATAGCATGGTTGGTATATTCTCCAGATTTTCTGTTGTTAGAGGCGGCCATAGGAGAACACAGAGTGCCATCGTAAGCTCTCTTTTCTATTTGCTTGTCTGATTCCAGTAGAAGTTATATGGAACAGGAGATTTTGTTCTGTTAGATTTGTGCTTGAGCTTTATGTTCATAGTGATTCCTTTTTAGTATGATACTTCTACAGTAGATTTGTTTGTTGGGCATATTCTTTACTCTTATCATCTTGAGATGCTAACAATTTGGCCTCAGAGAGTTGATGATTAGTTTGGGAGATGTTTAGAGCTTCTTGTTCTGTTGAGTTCCTTCATTGGTTCATGATTCTCTCTGTTTAATTATAATATGAATACCTTTAATAGATTTCAAGCTATAGTTAAATCTGAGATCCAATATTTCTTTGGAAAAGCCATAAATTGGTTTCAGGCTACACTTGACGTGAATCTTTTCCTATGATCAGGATGGCAGAGAAGTCTTGTCTCCAAGATCTGATCTTGCTCCTTCAGCTAACACCACAACCGCTGCAACTCATGGGATCGAAGTAGCAACAGAGTTTAAACCGGTGGACCATCCGATGGAGCCCTTAGACAACGATCAACCGATCCAGTGCCCACTCCCAGAGCCATCCATTCTCAATGTATGATTCTTGAAAAAGTTCCAAGAAATGAAAAAATTAGGTTTCTTTAGTGAAAACTGCAAAGATAGGAGTGTTTGTAGAAAGCTTCACTCTTTTTTATGATAACAGGACGGGAGACTCTGGAAAGAGAGATTGTCGGCTAATTCGATGAGAAGACGAGATGATTTGGCGATTGCCCAAGATGGGATGGACGAAGAATCTGATGTTTCTGTGACAATTCCATCACGGGCTAGCCAATGCAATACCAACCGTCCTATCTTGCCTTCACTCAGTGCGCCCGAACACAACTTGCTTAATCTACTAGAAGAATGCAAAGTATCTGGTAGTATCTAAGAACCTGCAGGGATTGTCTAGACTCTTTTTACAATTTATGTGTAAGAACAAAACCAACTCATAGTGAATGTTATTATATCTAAGTAAAATCATCCACTTCATGCCCTGTGAACATAAAAGACACATTGCATATCCAATGTTTTCCCTATTAAGAGCGTTTCGTTTCATCGTTTCATCAAATTAATGCTTAGAAGGATCCATGACATGACCAAGAAACAAAACTAGTCCGGTTCGGTACTCTTTGACGATGAAGAGAAAGGGATGATCAGCCACGAAGTCATACTTTTTTGGCGGAAAATAACAACCTCCAGCACCTCTTAAAGCGGCAGCAGCTGCAGCTTTCGATCCCACTTCATCTACCTCGATACAAGACTTGTGGACGATCATGGACAATGGCACCTCCAAACCCAAACCCTTGAGAGCTTTCGAGGCTTCGAAATCAAAAGCAAATTTAAACCTTGGAATCTTGAGTTCTTTGACACGCGCCCGCTCGCTAGGAAGGACCTTGTTGTCCTTCAAGAATCCACGAGTAGAAGCTAAGCTCTCTAGCATTGAAGGCAACCCATCTTTCTCATCAGGGAGATAGATTTGCATTGAGAAACTACGAGTGTCATTGCGTCCTCCTCTGTACGGTAGATTGAGGACTTTGAAACATTCGTAAACATAGAGACTGTTTTTGTGGGCACCAGTCATGAAGGGGACTCGAGCTTTGGTTCCATCAAGAAGGTGAAAATCGCAATCTTCAGTTAGCGATGGATCGAATTGACTATCCCATCTTCCGTTGAAGAACAAGGCATTAGCAAATATGAGATCAGTCAAAGGAGATGCAGAGTTTGGTGGAAGAAGATTAGTGATGAGTCCATTTGTCTGCTAGCTCTTCAACCCATGAATTCACCTCTTTAGTCACTTCATCAGCCTTTCCAAAACAAACAAACAAACAAAAGCTATCAACGTCTATGATTTGGTAGAAGAAGATTGGTGATGAGTCCAGTATTTAGCTAAGTTATTCACCGAATGATGTTCATATAAGTGAGACTGAAGGAAATATTTGGAGAAGGTTTAAGGGAATTAGGTTACACTAACATCTGAGATTTGATTTTCACACAAAAGCCTTGTCTAAATCTGATTAAGCACACATCTAAGTCTAAGCGTCTAAGCGTCTAAGCATGTCACTATGTTCATGTTACTATGTTACATACATCTAAAGCATGTTAATGTTAGTATAAGCCCTAGTAAATTGATGTAGAAGATAGGTTTATTTGGATCAAAGAGAGTACCTTGGTGAGGAAGTCAACTTGGTTGAAAGCAGCTTTATACGAATTCATCAAAAGATCCTTGAAAGAAGGTTCCACAGAGAGAGTCTTTTCGATCCAGACGCCATTCGCTGCCGATATCGTCGGGCCGCCACTAGCGGTGCTGTCGGCTAGGATGGTGGTGACGATCCCGGAGGAGACAGCGTTAAGCTCATCGGTTGAAGAAGCCTGAAGTAAAGAGACAATCTGGTTTGCGGTGGCTCCGGGAGATCTGGCGGCGATAAAACTGAGGATGACGTTGATTAACGCCGGGGAGAAGACGAGGTTAGAGGTTTTTCCGGAGGTAGTGGCGATCACGTGCTGAGTCAACCTCAGAACAATGTCGTTTTGATTCCCAACCGATCCTTCCAGGTTCATCAGGATGTCATATTGTTTCTTTTTTGAGTCTTTCAGGTCCATCTTTCTTACGGCGAGGTTAAGTTGGAGTTTTGGATTCTCTTTGACGACTTGTTTCTTTTACTTGTCTTCTTTTCTTTTATGTTTTGAACAAAACCTAACACAATAACCCTATTTATAGAGTTGTTATAATCATAGTTCTATGAGAAATTAATACATTTTTATTTTCATATTTTCCCAAATACGCTCACTTCTGTTATATATTTATTTCCTTTTCTTTTAGTTAACTTTTTTTCAATCTAAAGTTGTTCTGTTTTTTTTTTTGGTAATGTCCAAAGTTGTTCTGTTTTTCTATTTCTTTATTTTATTTCCTTCTAAACATAAAAGGGAATATATATTGGGGCTTTTGCAAAAATGCCACTTTTCAAAAATACCCCTTTTTAAAAATCTTATAAAAAATGCTCTTAAAAATATAAGATTTACCTAAATATGTATGTAATATTATTAAAACATACACAAACTACATTTCTATGTATCTAAAATCTTATAAATACTTTATAAATACCTTATAAATGCATTTTAAATACCTTTAAAAACCTTTAAAATATCTTGTAAAACCTTTGAAAAACCTTAAAAATCCTTTAAAATAACTTGTAAAACCTTTAAAAAACCTTATAAAACCTTATAAATACTTGGATCGAGTCTTCAAGTAGTAGTTACAATCCATAAGTATCTTATAAACCTAATAAAACTTTATAAAAATTTCAGATTTAAAAAAGGGCATTTTTGAAAATGGACATCTAAAAGGGGCATTTTTGAAAAGGGGCACACCAAAAGGGGTATTTTTAACAATTTCCCATATATATTCCAATACTTCAGTTAGATTATTTGTTTGTTAACTAATTAAGGAGGTGTTATTAGTTCCTAATTTATAAGAAATTTTGATAATTTTAATAAAATTATAGAAAGTAAATAAAAGAAAGATCTAAACTATTGCTAGAGAGTTTTCTATAATCTTGTTGATTAGTTTTTTCATAATCTTGTAAAGTTTCCCAAACAATCACTCAATTTTGATGATACTTTTCATGATTTTATATTATGAAGAAAAGTGTAGAAAATCATAAACCAATTAAGATCAATAGGCTGATGATGCAGTTGCCACAGTACCTTGCATCCCACACCACACAAGTTCCTTCAATATCTAGTTCCTTTTTCTGCATCGATTACATTTCGATCTCCCATTTGATTTAGGAAAATTATAAGCAGAGCCTTGGCTAAAGGCTTAAAGTAGAAGCGGAAACTAGACGATGATTCGGGATGGTTTTGCAACTACACGTTTGTTACACTTGAAATCTTTTGATATTTGTCAAAAACAACGTTCTTTTTTCTTATGGGGTCTCCATTTGAAGATTTTAGTAGATTATGTAAGAGATATCAAATGATCATCTTCTTAATAGCTCAATATTTGATTGATTACAGTTTAGGAACATTCCTTTTGTACTCTAGACCTAGATGTTCCTCTCTTCTACTTGTGTATATAGACTCTTGTAATTGTGTACAGAATCAATAAGACTTCATCTTAACAGATTATGTGATAGCTAAGTCCGCTTGATAGTTGATACTATATATGCTACTAACAAACAAATGGATAATAAACTTATCCACTTGAAGAATGAATAAAATGAACCAATAAATGAAGGCATAAAGCTCATCTCATCGTCGGGAAAATTACATAGCTATCAAAACGCCGAGAACTAGCTAACTACAAATCTCTAAAAAATCAAATTTTTCATTTTGTGTTCATATCACATTCTGATTTTCTTCCAAATTTAACAAAATTCTGATTTTTTGTGTATACCTTTGTTGTGTTAAAGAAGATTAAATAATGGTCTCTTTTTTGTCCTCTTAGAGATATTGGGTTTGTATTCTATCTCTGTTCTGCTCCCACCATGTCTTGGCATGCACTTCCCCAAACCGTTCCCGACTGCAAACACCCGGTTCGAAAGGTTTACGGTTAACCGCCAAATAAATTAGGATATAACATGCTGAAAAAACCGGTTCTCTGGTTTACCTGAACCTGACGCGGCGTAGTTCTCTAGTTCCATCTGGTAACTGTCTGATGGTAATGTAGACACCAGGCTCGTCCTCTTCAACCCACTCAGCTTGCATTTCACTAGCATTACTCATGGAAGGCGGATCGTCCCTCGATGAGGTGGTGATTCTTGCTGCGTCCATTGGAGGTCCATAAAAGTGATGTGGGACACTGCCTCCTGGTGGTCTGAAGTTGTTGTCTCTTTGTGTCCAGTCTCTGCTTTCTCTTGCTGAATCAATTCTTGTGTGAGTTGAATCTCTCTGCGACTGTTAGAAGAAACAAACAAAAGTTGAAAGATACGATTACTCATAAACCTTCTCTTAAGTTGTGATGATGTTTCCTACCTGGTCCTCGGATCTACCAGGAGTTTGAAGAGCTTGTCGGTTAAATCTTTGAACATTGTAAAGCTCAACGATTCTGTCGTAGTTCTCACCCCACCATCTTTGAGCCTGCCACTTGTCGAAAACTTCCCGGCTTCAACAAAGATACAAGCTAATATTAGCTTCATTTCATAATGAATCATTCTATGTCCTTAAGTGAAACATATTCTTCAAAATGTTATGGAGAGAATGGGTTTCAAATACCTGAAACGTATCCGTTTAAGATCATTTCCTCCAGTGGGAAGTGAGACGAATGTGATATGAACACCGGGCTCTACTTGAGCCATCCACTCCTTTGGCTCGTCATCTTCTAGTACCACATCACACGACTGAGCAGAGATGGATTCACGTTCACCGCCATACATTGATGGAAATCTTGAGTCTGGCCGTCCAGATTGATGGTATGAGGATCTTGGTAAGTCCCAAGCCGGAGTGGAACTCGTGCTTCCACCCGGATAAGGGTATGGAACACTTTCTGATGCAGTGTCAAAATCCGGGAACTTCCTCAAGTTGCTGCTCGAAGAGCCCGGAGTTGGCTTGCTTTGTTTATGAGTACCTGAGAATTTCGACGCCATGTCTTTGATCTGCATATCATCCGTACCAAAGAAGCTGATTAAAAGTGTTATCTTAAAACTCAACATAGTACTAGGTGATCATTGGACATCAACATAATGTTGGATAGAACAGGGTAAACAAACAGTAAGTAAGCAATAAAGTCTTCTGCCATGAAAAAAAATGAGTCAAGAAATGGATGATTTTTCTTTTATCCCAACTAGGGAAAAGGAGTCTAGTATCATCATTCATAAAGAGCATGAATAAAGCTAGAAGATCTGATATAATTTGAAACATAAAATATAGTTCATCTTGTCTTCTCCGTGAATAGAACATAATCATAACTTCTTTTTATGCTTCTTTTGATTTACCATATAATCTATATAGTTGCCCCACCACAGATTATTCTTTATTTTTTTTGCTCCTAATCTAAATAAGAATCCACTAGGGACTTATTCTAGGAAAGTATATACAGTAGATCAATCTTCAATAACAAGCAAAAATCATGTTCAACAAGGCGTGACTCCATTAACCTTTTTCCACACAAATCATCAGCCACTACATTGGTAATCCTAAAATTCAACGTGAAACATATAATTATTTTACTAATTGTTGCTAGATTTTTATGTCTAGTCACATAGAGGGGAGAAAAAATAAACACTGACACAACCTATTAAAGAGAGATTTGTAATAGATTCCAGAGAAGTGATGTTGCATCACAATAGGATCTTGTCTAAAGATCCGAATTTTGTTTGTTTGTAACCTGCAGCCTTAACTACAGTAACCTCTATGCTTTTGTACTTGACAGCCGAATTTCAAAACCTTTAACATAAAAACTGTTTTATTTTATTTTTCACCATAATTGTTAAACAGTTTAAGAGGACCATTTTATCAATTTGGGTTATGTGGGTTTGTTTGTTTCACGACCAAGGAAGGCAATTAGGAAAAAAAGCAACAAAGTAAAGTGAAAAAGAGTCTTAAGGATCAACAAAGATCTTTAGGGAGAGAAAGAGACCTGTGTAGTTAGGCTTTTAACGGCTTCTTTAGTGTTGGGAGTGGTGCTCCCACGCGCTTCGTCTTCTTCATCCTCACCTCTGTCTGCCATCTTTGTACAATTTATGCAAGTAAACATCTTTGCACTCTTTTTTATGTTCCTCTGCCTTTTAAACCCTATAAGCCACAAAAATACAGAAACAGAGCGTATTAAACATCACATATAAAGATAGCTATATAAAAGAATAAATAAAGCTATGAAAATGTTAAGTGATGCTAGAGCCTAATTTAATTCGTTAGATAAGTAACTCAACTAATGAAAAGTTAGTGAAACCCCAATAATAAAGGAAACAAATTTCTTGGGAAGGATGAGATAATCCTAGATGAAGCAAACGTTTTGAATCCAACTATGAGTTGAGACAGCTGATTTTTGTAGTGTAAACCCATAAAGATTAAAGAATCATATCCCTAAAAATACTTCATGAAATTAAGGAACTAATGAAATAAAGTAGAGAGGGATACAAGTTTTAAATGTATTAAAATAAAATAAGCTATGAAGGTTCATAATTAGGGGCAATAATCTTGAGAAAGACAAAAGTGTTCAAAGATTTAACTTGGGGATCAGAGAAGAGAGGACCACAGAGAAAATATATTTCCAAAGGATTGTCGAGGCACCTGAATGGATCAAATTATAACCTTTGGAACAATAAAGAAATTGAAATATGATCATGATAGAGACAAGCGATGGTATTAAAACAAAAATGGTGCTTTATGTAAGAAAGTGGGTCTGAATAGAGAAGCGAAACTGAGTGTGTAAATGCTTTGTTGAGCAGCAATACCAAGTAAAGACCCCATCTCCTCGTCACACACATAAATCAAAAGTTTCAAAGAATATTTATTTCTCCGGCAAGCCGAAGTTTCTGACATTTAAATATAGGATATATATTTAGTAGAGAGCATAAGAAAATTATATAATTCGATATAAGTGCTTAAAAAATGTGTTTCTTCTGATCCCTCGTGTCCAATTAAACTATAAACTGAAAATATGAAGACACTCGAATTTATTACAGCCAGAGGCAAAGAAAATAACTTAGCAACAAAATGGAATCTTTTTAACAGTCACGTGTATGAAAAAAAAGAAAGAGCTAAAACCAAGAAAGAATTAAAGAAAGACTTGGGTTCAAGTGGGTGATGATGATGGACCAATCTTAATGCATGTCGAAAAAATTGAATAAAATCAAAAGTATGTACACAAATGAATTGTTTCCATTGAAAAAAATAGTATGAGGTATTGAATGGAATTAAATTGAAGTATGGGTTTAGTTTCTTTTACCTTGTATCGAAAAGTCTGCAGGTTAAGCGTGTATATTTGTTGACAAAAAAGAAAAAGAAAAGCGTGGATATCTGAAAACTTAAGGATTGCCTATAATAGACCCATCAAAGCTGCAGAGATTTAGCAGCGTTACAGGCGCAGTGTAGTAATATGAAGTAAATGCGGTGTACCAAAAGGACGACGTAATTGATTATTATGATGAATGGCTCTTTATTTTTTTATTGGAGAAACACAATTTCTTCTTCTTTTTTTTGTCGAGTAAAAAGCAAAAGTAAAGTAGCAAACAGTGTAGTCTAGTCAAATATTACTAAGGAAACTTTTGAATGTTGTAATTAATGTTTTCCAGGGAAAAAAAATTTGAGTAGTAGAAAATCTGATTCTCCTTTTCGCCAGGAATGATCTAATCAGTAAAAAATGGACATGTTTGAGTAATGTATGTGTTCGTAATTAATCAGCAAAAATGGAGAAGAAGAAACAAAACATGTTGAAAGATGATTTGTACATCAGTCTATAGATAATGAAGGAGAATGCAACAGTACTTAGAGAAACTATCTGATTGGTTTCTAATTTATTTTTTAAAGGTTAGAAACTAGTGACCAATTTTTTAAAAAATGGAGGATTATTCGGAGTCGTACCTGAATCACAACGTCTTCTTGGAGCGAAATCAAATCAAAATCTGAAAATAGTCTCCGCTATAAATGACTCCGGTGAAAGATCGAAAAGTCGCAGAGATAGCACAGGTATCCTCTTCCTAGAGAGGAGCTTCTAAATACGAGAATAGCCGGAAAAATATTCAAAATTCCGGGGCAAGAATCTGGGTAATCGGGTCACCCGGTAACTGTTACGGAGCTCCGGGTTTTGTTTCGAGAAAGATGACGGAGAGAAAGAGAGAAGACATTTGGAGGACCGACCGTGAGTAATTTATAAGGTGGAGGAAAATGTAGATATTAACGGCGTTAGATACTTACGACGTGAGTTGACGGAGATACCTTTTTCTCTTTGAGTAAACGATGAAATTTGGTCTCGAGAAGAGACGGCAACGAGGGCCCATTTGGTGTTGCCGGTGACGGAGATAAAGAGAGGTTCTATTACGTGTGCAGGAAGTAGGCTACGTGGCTGTCTTTTGATTGGCTGACGGTAGTTCAAACGGGTCGGGTTACGGTCGCGTCACAACGTTTTTCAGTTGTTGTTGGTCTCTTTATCTCAGTTTTTGCTTTAAATCGTTTTCTCTTGTTTTAGATAGAATCATTTGTTTTGCCCAAAAAAAGATAGAATCATATGTTGTTGGTCGATCATGTGTATCAAATACTTCAATTTCGTTATTGTTGGGAAAATTTGTATCTTTTTGATCGGATCCTAATGCGCTTGATTGGATGACATGATCGACCGATGAATGCCATTGCTTTATCGTTCTCGACATTTATAGGCTTGGTCATCAAATAAATCCAAAAAGGCCCATTATCTTGGTATAGAAGGCCCAAAACAGGCCCAAACTAAGAAGAGCTAAATCACACCTTCATTAATTTTACAAGGGCAGTCAGAGAAAGAGAGAGAGACTGGGAACGTTCAGCTTTCAAAGTCTGTGGTTTGATCTAGGGTTTTAGACACAGAGCTCTCTCTCCTTCCAAATTCAAAACTGTGTGAAGAAGAAAAATGGCGACAGTTTCTAGGGTTTTTGGAGCTTGCAGGGTACTGATGGCGAAGGCCGCTTCTTCGTCCGCCGCTAAAAATGGTAGACAAGGTACTGGTATTCTTAAGGTGGTTCCCGTTTCAAAGCCGCTCGCTACCTTTATTGGGGAAAACGAAGTCTCTCGCACAACCGCCGTCAAGAAAATCTGGGAATACATCAAACTTAACAATCTTCAGGTTAGGGTTTGGTTTTTCTTCTCGAAATTTCTGGGTCATTTCTTTGCGCTTTCTACTGGATTTTGTCTTTTGAGTTAGCTCTCGTTACTTGGAATAAGCTGTTTACTCTACTTTGGTGATTTGATTGATCTGGGTTTAGGAGGATTCGTAGAAACTTTGAGCCTTCGTGTTTTTCAAAATGGTAGATTTAAGTGTTGTGATTAGCATTTAATTAAGTAATTAAGTTTAGCGTTGTGACTGCGGCTAGAACTAATCTGCTTATGATCTTGATGTTATGGGAATCTGATTTGTTCATGAGTCAACATTTCAAAGCCTAGCTTTTGTAGCTTGATGTTCTTTTATTTTCTTGCTTATGTTGAGTGAAGAAATCACTGCTTTTGGGGAAACGCATTACGAGCTAACAGAAGTTACTTTGATCGTGTTAGCCTTTAGCTGGTCTTTGAATTTCTCTGTTTTTCTCACATCTATTTTAGAGAGATTCTGGTTTCCAACACATATTATTGGTTTTTGATGTAGAATCCGGAGAACAAAAGGGAGATACTATGCGATGAGCAACTGAAGACGATCTTCAGTGGGAAAGACACTGTCGGGTTCCTCGAGATTTCGAAACTTCTGTCTCAACATTTTCCTAAGTCTGCTTGATTCTCACTTTGCATGATCCTTAAAGACAGTTTAGCTTATTTTACTCTATCATCCAAGAAACGGTTCTTCTTTTTTTGTATCTTCTTATGGGTGATCTTTATTGGTTATATATAGACTGCCAACCAGTTCTCTTCTGTCTGAGACGTTTTATGTATTGATGATGATCCAAGGTCAATTTAGTTAATGGTTTGTGGTCTTGGAGCTTGTTTATCTCTACTATAATCTTCTTCGATCTCAATGTGACATGGACTCCTTCGCATCTCAATATCTCTCAGTAGGATGTTTCTTTATACATCCAAATATGACTTCCAAGTTCGACAGAACATGACTACGTAATACTTGAGTTTGTAAGTGAAACAACTAAATAAGCCATTTATTGATAAAAAATCTACAGAGAAACTATATGAAAAGAAGAAACGATTTTCTCTGTGTCCAAACCTATTGTTATAACATGATACATTGAGTATGAGTAAGACAAAGAAAAGAAAGATACACTTTCACAGTAGTATATAAAGGCCGTATGAAAAAAAAAAAACTCCCTAAGTCTCCTTGTGACCCAAGAAATCGAGTGTAAGCTTCTTGGAGTCTTCTTATCGGTTATTTTATCAGAGAGGAGGATGATCTTCTTCTGGTGTCTGTGGAGGAACCGGTTTCCAACCAGGTTTCTCGTCCCAATACATATCGTAGTAAATGTGTCCCGGAGTCTTGTTCTCCTCACAACACCATATTCCCACATATCTCTTTACCCGTCTTCTAAATCTCTCTTCTCGCTCCTGCTTGCAAACCAGATTAGGTCAGGTCAGATTTACATTTTGTATGAACATGTCTATATGTTTCACGGTTTAAAGATCTACTTGCCTTGTCAGAGAATCCGATGAAAGCATCTTCAATTGAAGAAAACTTGATCACTTTGACATTTTCGAAGGAAGAAAATATCGCCTTGAACTGCAGTGAGCACGAAACAAAGCGCTTACGCTAAGCCGGAGATTTTTTTGACATATATAGTGAAGACTAAAGAGTGATGTTAGACAGGTAAAAAATCTTAGTTACCGTATCTTCATTGCTCCGCTTTGGGAACTTAAGAACCTGAGAGGGGCTTGTGTTATTCGATGGCTCACATCCTTCTTTTCCTTCTTGACAAAGCTGAACATCAAGCCATGACTCTTTTACCTGAAAAATAGCTTTATTCCTGAGATTTTCTTACGAAATGATTAATAAGAACAAGAAAAATATCTTAGCAGCTTAAATTACTTGTTTCGGCAATGCCGGGTTATCTAGAAAAGAATATTCTCTGATACCAATCCCAGGGCCAAACTCTTCCTCTGGTAGCTCCTTTAGCATGATATTGACCTGTAATTGAAATGATTCAGCTGTCATGAGGCATTTGCAGAGAAAGAATCAGATATTGACATGCTTCAACATCATTACAAATACTACCTCAAAGACATGATCAAGCGGGCAGATGAAAGGTTGTTGGGTCATAGATCCCTGAAGAGTACCGGGATGCCCAAACCAAAGCCTATCTAACCTGCACCATATTGGTGGCATCACCTGAAAACATTGTCGAGACCAACCCGATATATGTAAGAATCAACCATTATCCCCAGGAAATATGCATATAAGCTGTTAACTGGACTCACCAATGTACGATTAAGAAGAGACGCAATGGCTAGAGCTGATCTGATCTGTTTCATCTGTAAAGTGGACCAAAGGTGGATGTAAAATTAGAAAGGTGGTCAAGTTAACATATAGTTCCTAGGCACCATATTAGGTTAGTAGAACGTTACTTGGTGATTAACGAGGATAAAATGCGATTCAATGGTATGCTTCCCGTCAAGTAACAAGCTCTTTGGAATAGATGGTTTAAACGCAATGAAACCTCCTGCGTTGTGTTGGAGTTTACACTATTCATTTTGGATTTTCCCATCAACAAGATTAATGTTGAAGAATCTTAACATAAAGAATTTTACCTGGTGAATCATAATATTCTGGTGGGTCATAGAAAACCATCCCCTCTCGGAGCCTGTGGCGTTTTCCTTCGGTACCTGCATATTGGAATGTTGTATGCACGGCATATGGTTCTAGCCTCAGTTGTTGATACATAGCCTGCCATAGAAGATAGAAGTTACTTGTTAGGCCATTCCTGAACACAAAAGAGAACGATAAAAACCGCAAAAACAGGAAGCATGAAGAAAGGTACCTGAACAAAATAAGTATGGCCACTGCAAAATATGCTAGCGGGCAAAATGCCAACCTTGAGATTTCCATCATAAGCATAGAAAAGTCCACTATCCCCATCCACAGATGGACCTAGCTGTCTCCTAACAATCTCATTGAACCCATTTTGATCCCAAACCTTATCGTCCGCTAAGAGAATTTCTTTCCATTCTTTGGCCAACTTTTTGGCAGATTCTGTCGGCCGCCAATGGAAAATCCTATGTTGTAGGCAGCACCAACTTTCAAATTCCAAGAAATGAAAGGTAGAGAAAACAGTTAGTAGGCATGTGAACAGATTAGCTGCTGATAATCATAAACTCAAAACACTTTTGCTAGAGAGATAAACGATTTCATAAGGGAACAGGGGAAAATGCAAATCTTTAGCTAAAATCTACCTTGTTGCCATATGTCCAAACTGTCATCTATGACAGTAGGCACAACTTGATCGCTTGATGTCAAAACATCAGCATCTGGGAATCGAGCCAAATAAGGCATAGGATTCTGTCACATAAATATTATCAGAAAAAGTCTACTAAGGAAGATAACGTGATGAATAACAGTGATAATAATGTGTCGAATTAGCACCTTAAGCCACACCATGTCAGTGTCACACATTAGTAGCTCGTAACCGAAAGGCAAGACGGAATCTATGAGAATAACTTTTTCTCTTCCCATTTTGTGGAATGTTGGAGAACCCCACCCGACATCCACTGTGCTCATATGGCTTCCCATATCAAAAACCGGAACGCCTTTCCAATACAAAGCCTCTAATAACTTTGTATCCATCGCACCTTTAAAGCCCCATAACATAAAGTTACTAACTTACAGAGAGCCAGTGAGAATGGACAATAAGACACAGATATTAGAAGTGGCAACTCACCAACTAGAATATTGGAGAGATCTAAATCAGTCAAGTGTTTAACCCAAGTCAAGATGAAATCCATAAAAGCATAGTTCCCAAAGGTCACTATAATGACATTGTCCTTCACTCTTTCCCCAAACAATTCTTTGGTCAGTTTAAAGGTTTCAAGTGGTGGCATCTTTTTGTCTCGAGGAGGAGACACCCAAATTTTACCCAAGGATCTGCCTTGAGCCTCCTCCAGAACTGGCGGTGGCAGTGCCTGTGGTGGTGGTGGAGCAACTGGTAACTCTAAAGTTGCATTATCTTGTGGAAGACGGTGAATTCGGCCGGCAGCTACAGAAAAACTCATGAATAAATCTCACATAATGAAAAAAGAAACATTATTTAAGCTTCCACTGTTTAGTAAGATTGATGTATACTCAAGCAAGCTCAACTAGCCTGATACCATGAAACGTAAAATCCAATTGACTAAACTGAAATGCAGTGTCGGAAAGTAACACTAGACTTTTGAAAAATCAAAACTTTCAGACACCTCAAGCCGATCCAAGTACATTAGTTAATCACTTGACTGGATTCAAAGCTGAGCTTAAAATCAGCTAAAGTGATCGCAAGTCAAAACCCATCTCAGATTATATCGCAAATCCATAGCTTTCAAACAATAAAGAAGTGATTTTTCAAACGAATACTGAGATTTAAGGTCAACGGTGAGCTCGAATTAGAATCAGAACAAACAGATTAAAGAACCTAACTTCCAAAATCTCACCTAATGATTAGAGACATTAATTCATTTACGAAATCAAATCCAAACTCTTAAGCAATGCAAAGCAGATATAACCAAACGATTCGTCAGCACAATACATGAATAGAGTGAGAGTGAGAGAGAGAGAGAGAAGTTACTGGATAGAGGAGGAAAAGAGAGAAAGGAGGAGGAGCCATTGGTGGGAGAGTAAATGGCGGAGAAGACATAGAAAGAGGAGACGAGAACGCCAATGATCACCGTCGCGTAGATCGTCACGAACAGAGGTTTCGAATTCGTAGCCTCGCGAAACCCATTTCTCCAACCCTCCACCATTATTTTCAATTTCAATCTTCTTCTTCTTCTTCTTGTTCCTCAAATCTCCATTACAGAAGCTTTATTCCTCCAATCGATTTGATCGTTTGGTGGGTCTGGTCAACTTCGTTTTCGGCGTCTTCTCTTCAGCAGCTTCGCTCATTATCAATTTTACTTTGACATTTTTTTATTAAATTGTTTTTGTGGTTACATTATTAATTTGTTTCTTTATTCAACAATGATTCCCCAACTCTCAAGTAATGCAAAATAGTGGCATTTCAAACCATTCTAAAAAATATTGTTATTGTGGCAATATTTTGTTGTTGTGTATCAAATTCAAATGATTCAAATTCATAGCAATATTTTTATTTTTATTTTTTTTAAGTTGGAGATCATTAATCGAGGCTGAATTGAATGAATATAAACAATAAAGGTAATATTTTTTTATCATAAGTTTAATCTATATAAGTAAATGTATATGTACATTTTATGAAGGAATAAATTTAGAAAAACAAAAATTAAATACGCAAAGACAGAGAGATCTTAATGCAATGCTCTGGTTGCTTTGACTTTGTTTTCCGGTTTCCACAATCCCACGATGTCCGAACATGTTAACTCTCAATACTTTTCAGGAAATTATTTGTTGATATAATTTGTTAGTAGAGTTAGGCGATCGAGTTCTTGCAGAATTCGGTAGCCTTCTCTTCTTCTTCTTCTTCTTTTCTCTTTTACATCATAGATTTAAATATAGTTTAGGAGTTGGATAAAAAAATAGTTTAGAAATCATAAACAAAAATTAGAACAGAATCCAAACTAAATATTAGAATATACATTTTTCCAAAGCCTTAGAATCTTAAGATATCAAGTGAGTTTGTGATGATTATAAATGATGTGGTGGTGTATCAAAAGTCCACAAACTAATCTCTAGTCGCAGATGGTCATACCTTATGATGGAATCAAACCGGTCCTCAACTCTAATTTGACTCACAATAAAAATTCACAGAAACGTTCTTTAGCTGAAAAGGCAATGAAAACGTTGCACAACATCAAACAATAAGAAGCTTTGAAAGTAAACTTGTTGACAAATTCCTCTAAACACTGAATCAACGACGACCAACACATTCATAACATGAGACATTCCAATCAAGTAGACATTGATCGACACTTTGCAATCAATTCACCTCTCTACCAAGGTCAAGAGACATTGAGACAATGTATTACAGGTGTAGAAGAATATCAACGAGAAAATTAAACAAAGTCCACCAATTCTAAATAATCATTCGACAAAAAAAAAAACACCAAATAAGGCCTTCATAAATAAAGCCTACCCTTGTTTTAGCGGATCTCAATATCGGTATTTTTTTATGGAGCCCAATTACAAAAACCCATGAAAACTAAAAACGAGAATGTACTATATCCGAACCGAAGTTTTTAAAAAACCGAACCATATCCGAACCGAAGTTTTTAAAATAACCGAATGGTTTGTAAAATCCCCTATCCAAACTAACCGAAACCGAACCGAACCGATAACCAAACGGTTAACCGAAATATCCAAAAACCTATAAGATACCCAAAAATAATATCCAAAACTATAATTATAAACTCAAAATATTAATTATTTTTAGAATCAAAATAATCAAATACTTTAAATAATCAAAATATTCAAATATTGTTTGTTATATTTGTCAAAGTTAAATACTCTTTTACAAAATTGAATCAAATTTTAATATTTTTTCTAATACTTTCTTTTTTTGTATTTTCTTTTTGTATTTTTTTGTGGTTAATTTTTGTTAGTTTCAGTTAGTTACGGTAAATTTTGGTTAGTTTCGGTTAGTTACGGTAAATTTTGGTTAATTTGAGTAAAAACCCGAACCAAACCGAACGTGATAAAAGTTTGGTTAGTTACGGTTATCTATTTAAATATCCAAACCGAACCGAACCAAAAGGTAACCGAACCGAACCGAACCGAAATTCTTAAAATATCCGAATGGTTATTATATTACCATATCCAAACTAACCGAAACCGAACATAACCGAACCGAAACCGAATGGTTAACCGAATGCCCAGGCCTAGCATTTCTCTTCCCTTCGAAAAGACCCTTTAACCGATTTGGAAATCCAAGAGCAACATAAGACTGAGATTACTAATCTCGAACAACTCTTTTAGCTATATCATAGACTCTTTAATTAATTTGCTCAAGAGAGTTTAACTTCTTTTTTTTGCCAAAGAGAGTTAAACTTCCACCTTTGAAGCCTAAAACCACACAAATTTTATAACGAAACGTAAATACAAATGATCGTTTAATCTTAACAACTTCTGTTACTAATTAATAAATATACATTTTAAAAATGTTATGTGATTTAGTATCCAATAAATTAGTTGAAGAAGACATAAGTTCGTATTCAATTCGTGCCCCTGTTTTCTTTATTCTTGAATATTGTAGTCTCTTCCATTGAAAAGCCGAAAACACATCTCCACATATCTGCAAATAATAAAGAACCAGCGCACAACTGCACAAGAGATATTAATCTTTTTACAACTCGAATATTTAACCTAAAAAGTTTGTCGGAATCTTAATATTTGATAGTCCTATCCTGAATAATATATTGATATAGACATATAGTTGTTTTACTGCTAATTAAAATATTATATAAATAGTTTGGCACCAACTTGTTAACCTAGTACAAGTTCCATATTTGTATCTCATCATCATTACTATACCTTTTCCTAAATCCAACTTCAAAAAAAAAAAAAACGTTAGGTATAACGTCCACCTCCACGATCGTTAACCTCAAAAATCCATTTCATATTATATGATGTTTTAACAATTTTGTTGTTTAAAAAAAAAATCAAATTTCTATGTCAAAAGTTAAATTCATATCTATTTTGTGACTATTTATATTCAGGAGTAAATTTACCATTGGTCATATTATTTTTAATTAGATATTAAGTTATGTTTTCAATGTAAATAAATACAAAAAAAAAAAAGAAAAATTAATTAACTTCTTAAGCTTTATGCTTTTATCCAAAACATTTTATATTTTTAAATAGAGAGAGTATCATTTTATATATCAAGAAAAAAAAGGTGATGTTTTTTATTAGTTAAGCAGACTAGTTGTGTTTTTTTTTTTCTTGCTTTTTGCTTTGCTGATTGATGGTACATTCGCATTTAAGCATTATTTATGCTGGTTGTACAACCATGATATTAATGTTTATACAAATATCTAACAAACATCTACACAAACAATCAATATATTTTTTTTTTATATACAGCTCACTTTTGTCGAGAATATTACCTTTTATAATAAAACATGTTCTGATAGTTAAGAACTTTTTCAAGACAACCTCTGTTAACTTAAAATTCGATCGAATAACATTTGAAAAAAAAACTCACGAAATTAAATAGGGAAACTTAGGATATATTATGATGATAAACAATAATTTGACGTATTTCAAAACGCAACCGTTGTTTGTTTACCATTTTTTTTTCTGATAATATTAGACAACCTCATTGATTTCAAAGTGAAAACATATTCTAACTTAAACTAATTAATCAACGCTTTGATGATAAAATAAAAACTATGCCTTTACTCATTAACTTTATTTTTAACCGAGAAAAAACAACGTCTAATAAAAAAGAATGAACAACTCAAGTCTCTGCGTAAAACCAGAAAAAAAACAAAACAAAACAAAAACAACTATAAGCAACCCTAGAGATGTCTTCATGGCCTTTAGTAAAGGACGAAATATCACTCTGGATAAAAAACAAATTTGAAATCAGTTTCTTGATCGCATATCCTCTCCACAAGAATCTATTATGCAACTTCTTCTCTACTTGTTCTTTTTTCTTTTCTTTTAAAACGTCAAGACGGCGCACAAGAGATCGAAAAGAACCGTGTGCGATAAAGCAGTAAATTTCTCCGCATCAAATGGTATTTTAAGGAGCACCTGGAGGGTTCTTGTGTCCGATACCTTGACTAGGACCTTGGTGGGTTGGTCGGAATGCATCTTGTTCTATGTTCTTGAAGCGGTTGATCTTGTGGTACCACACAAAATCATCCTTAGGCGGCTCAGGTGGTGACCAGGAAACAACCGGCGCATGTCGAGCTGCTGTTGTAGTCTCAAAGTGTACTTGTATCACCAAAAGAACTATAAGAAAGCGAAACAAAACTGTGATTGAACAACCACGAGACACCATCACTGACAACTTTGTGTTTTTGTGAGGATCTTAAACCTATTAAAGCGTATGTCTTTCTTCTCTTAAAAACAAGAGAGAAGTGTGCAATTTAAGAAGGATCGAATGGTAGAGGACCCCACAAAACCATATCACTCGATTCTGAAGACTAATGTTAGAATATCGACACTAGGTAGTGTTTTTTTTTCTAATAACTATCTTTCTCTCTTTTCTCTTTTTATGGGTGGGTGTATCATTCGAGTAGCCCATTCACCGGATTTTTAACGGAATTAAAACATGTTATCATTCCGACTGGTCAAACGGAAGTAACTAAATAATATAGTAACTAAATAATATATTTTTTACCTAAACCAACATGACAATTCTTTTCAAATATAAACCACTAAATCACTACTACTAGGGGATGTGCATTTAGTCAAATGGTTAAGTCTATTTGACTCCGCCTTTTCCACCGGAGTTCGAGTCCACTAAGTCGCGTTACCCCGTATAGTAGATATTGACTATGGATCGAGCCTGTAATTCATAAAATAAGAATGTATACTTAAGGTAAGGACCTCTTTTGAAGGTACGGTGTAAATACACTTATGACTTGACCCTCAAATTTATTGTCTAGTGTCTACATAGGGTTAATTAGGATAATTACAAAAGGAGACATGCATCTATTGTTAACAAAGAAAAGAAGCGTAAAACTGGTTAAATATTCGTAATAGACTTGAAATTCATATATATATATATATATATATATATATATATATATATTAACAAAGAAAAGAAGCGTAAAACTGGTTAAATATTTGTAATAGACTTGAAATTCATATATATATATATATATATATATATATATACATAAAACAATTTAAATATAATTTTATATGTCATAGCCATTTAAGATTGAGCTAGGTAAAGAGCCTCTAATATTTATCAAAGTAAATAGCCCCTGGTATAATTAAACTAAGCTGATCCTCTGTATTTTTTTACACATGGAACGTTGTCCGTCGTATTATACTTTGTTTGCTTTAGTTTTTGGCTTGAAATATGAAGTGTATTTGCCGTCAAATATTTACCAAAAATGGAAGATTCTATGCTCTTTTCTTAGCCATTCACTGAAAGAAACGCAGGCATTGTTCTTGATAAGACAGCCCTATAATATATTTTCTTATATTAGGTTCTTGTATTATCTATATTTGTTTATATTTCTTCAATCAATTAAATGCTTTATTTTGTTCACACAGTTGTGGTCCATTGGTTGTTGAGAATTGGGGAAAAGTTTGAAGGAACTAACCCAAGTTCGATTTACACTGGAAACAAAAAAACACATTTGTGTGTGAAGTCTGGGCTTGGGCCAAAGGCCCAAACAGTTTACCTGGTAGTCCAGTAACAGGCGATATGGCTACCCTCTGACATTAGTCGGAAAGCATTCCAAACTCGGGACAGACAGTATGGTGACCTTTCGGAGAGAAGTCCACTCTGAAGGACTTCGATGCGTTTCTACCGGGACTGACCGGATCAGCCGATAGGGTTTATCAAAAAAAAAAAATGCTTTATTTCTCCGCTAAACTTATCAATAATTAAGCCTTTAACCAACAAAAAAACCTATCGATTAAGTATTTTGTTATAAGTATTCCTTATCAATCTCAAACTATATCTTATATAAAAAAATATTGCAATCTCATATTGAATAAATTTGTTGGTTTGCTCAAATGTGTTGCCTGCATGATGCATGGAATTCACTTTTATTCATTTGGACTTTTCATTATATTGCGGACACATGCATGTATCTATCATGTATGTTGTATCTATAATCTATGCATGCAGATACTTCTGAAATTCGGCGTTGAAACTTATTTATCTAATATAAACTCGATCGCCATCGAATAAAACTTTGGATTGCATAAGAGACCAAGCGCATGTTATAGTAATTAAATTAGTGATCACCACAAGTATTCGAACAGATAGTTTTCAAATAATCACATATTTTTGTCAAAGATACATAGAGTTGGACATAGGCTATAGCTAAGTAATACTAGCTATTATATATACTTTATAAAGAAAAAGGCAAATAAATTAAAGGCAGATTAATTATAAAAAAAAATGGAGAACATCATGCGAACTTTGAATTCCAACCAATCAGAATATAAAGGAGTTCCACCAGTCACCATCACTAAGATTAATTCTTTTTCGTTTAAGGAAACCCTTACCCCAAATGGGTCTATTCAAGGAATCCTCAACATAAAAAGCTAAATACATATCGACCATTTATTCGATTTCATGTACTTTTTATTCCATGAAAAGACTACTTATATATTTATTTCGAATCTTACATAATCACACCGTAATTTCTCTTTCATCCTTTGCAATCAAACCTTAAGTTTACTTCACACGTTATGGAAAACAAAGTAGTATTCTTACCTATCTTGTTTGAACATTTTCTACATGATCTATTGTTTTTGTATTTTAATAAGTTTGGAAATTCAAACAAAATAATATATTATTGGATTGCTGATTCTTTATTCGTTTTATAACGTCTAAATGTTATTTATAATTATATGTTATTTTATGTTAATTGTATTTTGAATTTTCATATAATTTTGACTTTATGCTAGCTTTTACCAAATTTTGATTTTGATTATTTTTGTTTTGTTTAAATAGGCCAAATTTTGAATTTTCATACTATTAGGTTTTTCGTTTGAATACTAATATAGTAATATTCATAAACTGAAAATCCCAAAAGATTTCAAGTGAAACCGAGTTGATAACTGGATTAAACACTCATTCGTGTCACGTTTCATGTACTTACATAAACAGATCTATTTTTTTTTAACCCTGGCAATTTAAGTTACAAAAACGGTGCTCCGTGGAAATCAGCCAATCAGGAAAAGCAAAAAAAAGAGAGAAAAGTCAGACTATACCAAGTTACCAACCCAAATCAATCATGTAATAAATAAGGTCCTGAGTCTACATAATGGGCCAATTATTATGGGTAAATGATAGTCATGAAAGCCCATTTTTATGATCAGAGCAATTTTGAGTTTAGAAATCTAGCACTAGCAGCCTTGTTGTTCAGTATATAAGGAGACTTTTCAGGTATATTATCAATACAGAAAAGAAGTAGCGCCTTTTGGCCTTTTGTGTTTGTAATTTGAGGGGTTTGGAATGGAATCAACGTGCACAGAGACTATTCCAATCCAAATCATTCATATATTAAACAAGGTCCCTAAGTCTGCTGCATTCCCACTTGACATCAATGTCTCCCTTCAATGTGATTTTAAGAAGCATTTTTGTGATGCAATGTCAAAATGTCATATGTTTGAGCAAAATGTGGTGTGAAACTTGACAAGTCTTAATGGTGGGTCCGAAATGAAGTTCCACCACATGGAGCGGCTATCTATCTCATTTTTTTATACATTTCCTTTTGTAAATTTTCGTGAAAAGAAGCATTTTTGAGCAAATACAGTATCTTGGCTTTATTAATGGAAAATTCAAAGATTCCTTGGAACACTGGGACTTTTGTTGGTTTCTGTCATTATTTTTATGGTAGCTACCTTAATCTGCATTAGAAAACATTTTGATAAGTCTCTTTCTTTATTCTCCCACTTGGTAAGGAAGACAAGAAGAGGATTGTGTGCTAGGTGGAGTTCTTTTATAATCACTGTCTGAAATGGGCCCTCTTAGACGATGCCTAATTCTAGAATGATAATCTTTTTCTATTTGTGGTCCACTTTCTGATATTGTAAAAAAGCTACAAAACACCACAGGGTTTATGGTATATAGTAGAACAAGCTTATATACTTTGTTGACATTTGTTCATGTCTGCAATCATAATTTAAGGGCTCATAGTAGGTGTGAGCTTAGTTCTGATCATTAGTATTTATATGTTTTTGATATGTGAAGAGCATACACCTTAAATTGTAACATTTTTTTTTTGTGTTATTTTTCAGGAATAATGACTTATGATGGCTTAGAAACTTGTATCATCAACAATCAATCTTTAGAAGAAGAAAGTGGAACAAGCCGCGGAGATGAGTACCCGACTGATTTATTGGATGATGATTCATTTTCAAGCTGTTCATCAAGCAAAGATGTGCTCGAGTCATTTTCCTCAAAATTGTTACCTAGGGAGAGTTGTTCTGATGATTTGGATTTTAAGAGAAGTTCTTTACATTTATATGGTAAGGAGAAACCTGGCTATGCACTCTGCTTTTCTGACGTTGAAGTCATGAAGGAGAGATTTTCAAAGCTATTTCTCGGTGAAGATGTTACGGGAGGATGCAACGGTGTGCAAACCGCTTTGGCTTTATCAAACGCTATAACTCATCTTGCTAGTATGTTTTCAAGTTTACAAAGTGAATAGTATTTGAATTCATCATTTGATACAATATGAAGATTTTGGTATCATTACTTGGATATGCAGCCTCGGTTTTTGGCGAGCTATGGAAGTTGGAACCGTTGTGTGAAGACAAAAAGCAGAGATGGAGAACGGAAATGGATTGGTTACTCTCTCCAACTAACTACATGATTGAGTTAGTCCCATCTAAGCAAGATGGCGAAAACGGAAGATCACTTGAGGTACCTAGCTTTATCTAAGATGTTTTTAAAATCATATACACTCCACATTTCACTAAACTGGAGTTCATGTTTGATCAGATAATGACGCCGAAAGCCCGTGCAGACATTCATGTGAATATACCAGCTCTCAGGAAATTGGACTCCATGCTAATTGTATGTGATCCTTATTTTTCTTTTATCTTAACTTCTTTCTTTCTCTCCTGATATCTGATAGTCCAAAAATGTATAGGAGACACTGGACTCTGTGGTAAACACAGAGTTTTGGTATTCAGAAGTGGGTCACAAGGCAGAGGGAAAGAACAAGATTACAAGAGATTACCTAAGGTAAACTTGGCTTTCTTTGAATACATAATTCCATAAGCTGCCATGTAAATACTTTTAGTAATGTATTTTGTTTTCCATTGGTAAGGCAAGCCTTGGGGATGACTTGTATAAGATATTAGCTTCAGATTCTGCTTCGGTAGATGAAATCTTTATGTCTCTTAAGCTTGTAACCGAACATGCTGCTCTTGAGGTAGTTAATAAGTTAGAAGCAGCTATCTATGCATGGAAAGAGAGGATTACAGAACAAGCAAGCAGTGGTAAATCACCTGCACGAGCATCATGGTCATTAGTTAAAGATTCGATATCTGAGATTAGTCGCATTGAGTTGCTCATAAACCGTGCAGAGAGGCTTAATGATCAGATTAAATCCAAATTCTCTAATCTCCCTCAGTCATTTCTTGATGCCATAAAAATTCAATATGGCAAGGTGAGGGGAACTTTAATGAACACTGCCTCATACTTACATATTTTGTTTCTTTAGTGCATAGTTTCATGTAGGAAATTTTTTTTCCTCTGTATTCAGGATATTGGCCATGCAATACTTGAGGCATATTCTCGGATCCTTGCAAACTTGGCTTTCCGCATTTTGTCCAGGATTGAAGAAGTCTTGCAAGAAGATGCTCTGAGCAACCCCA